TACCATTAAACCAATTTATTTAATGCATTGTCAAATAACCTAATGGAATTAATGTTAACTATTAATTTTAGGGTTAATCTGCGTAGAACGTTTCCAGCGGCTCATAGGGCTAAATTTTTGTCTAGGGTCTTATGTGCGAAATTGGGGTAAGTTAAGGGGCTTAACAAAGGGTTTTGACTTTTTTGTATATATATTTATGCTGCAGTGCCAGAAATTCGTCTTTCTCTTTCCTTCGTCGGCAAAATCCTCTGTTGTGAAAGCTTATTAGCTTGAAAGAAGAAAAAGCATGGCTAAGGCCAAGGAGTTGCCGGTTGATTTGCATAGGGACATTATTGGTCGATTATCTGATCCCAAGAGTGTTTACCGGTTTAAGACCGTCTCCAAATCATGGTTTTCCTTGATTGCTGAAATCAAGAGGGTGGAACTGGTAGTTGTCAGCAAAGAGAGAGTCTACTCTGCGGACTTGAATTTGGATTTGGATTTGGATTGGCCCGGTTGCAGCTTGAAAGTGAAAGAGCAACCTCTCCCATATGGAATTATGGAAGGTTCCACCCTCTTCCCAGGAGGTTCATGTAATGGCCAAGTTACTGGAGATTTCCAGGTAATTACCCAAACAACTAAAGTTAGAGTCCCACAACCTTGTGTCAGAGTAGCTGATAGATTTGTTCTATCTGGAGTTGATACTCGTGGACATCATGTGCGTTTACTGTGGGATGGGGATGGATTGTCCTAGCCACTGTGACACCAAAGTTTATAGCTTTGAGGGCAACCTGAGCAAATGATGATGTCGTGGATATATGGGTGATGAAGGAGTATATGGTCAAGGAGTCTTGGAGTCTTGTGTTTCGGATCTCACTTCTCGACAACGGTGAGGGACTATATCACTATGCTCTAATGAGACCTCTAGTTGTTTCCTCAAGGAATAGTAATAAAATTTTGTTAGAATCTGGAAATTGGTTTTTTTGGTATGATCCGGGGAATGATAAATTGGATGATGTTAATTTTAGTTCCAGAAAACTGATGAATAAAAGCGGGATAGCCATCTTTTTATGGCCAACTACCTAATTAGTTGTATGTGTACTGGCAATCTCCTCTCCTAAACCAAGTCAGAATAAGAGGTCTTGTGTTTGGATGGGTATAGACCATCGAATTTGGGAAAGGCTTGCCTGTAGTAGTATGCAATAGTAAGATAAACTGCAGTGTTTTTAAGCTAGACAAGATAATAGTTATGAGTTTGTAAAGTTTTGAGCAGTGAGATTTTGAGTTTTTTGAGCATAATTTATTTATTTTCTTGATGGATATTTAACATGCTAAACTTCCATAATTTTGCTTTTGTGTAAATCATTAATAAAGTTTATAATTCAATGTGTTTGTTTGAAAGTTAAGATATAATATAGAGATTTAGTATATGATATTAAAGGAGCTTACTATATTTTTCTTGATGATATTTCACTAGTTTAATTTTTAACTTTTCTCATAATAAAAAAGTGTAAAAATCTAAATTAATAATAAAAATTACGTCAATATTATAGTTATAATGTTAGATAAAATTATAATAATTTTACATAATATTAAATAAATATAATGTGATATTAAATAAATAATAATAAACAATATTATAGTGTACCTTTAAACAAAAAAATTAATTGTACAACAACATATAACTGATAACTTGATTGATTCAAATCCTGAAAGATTATGAACCCAACATACGATTTGCCATTTAAGATTCATAATGGGCAAAATTATGAATCAATCATAAAAGATTATGAACCAAAATTAATTGCTACATAAACAAGGAAGGGTAGGTGAGGATTTCGCTGTGTTGCAGTTCTTCCTCTCCATATCTGTCAAAACCCTCACCTGCGTTTCTGTGATTTGTAGCTCCGGGAATCAAGGAATGAAGGAAAGAGGACAAGAGAAGAGTACCCCTTTCTCCGATGATTTAATCTTCGGAATATTTTTCAGATTACCGGTTAAATCACTCTTGAGATTCATGTGCTTATCCAATTCTTGGTCTAAGGTCATAGCCGATTCTCAATTCTTTGCACTTCAGCTTCACCATTCCAAGCAATCCAACAAAGAGTTTCTGCTTCAGATTAGCGAAAATCCTCTAAAATTGCAATCAATCTCTTCCTGTCCCAACGGATTACACCTTAAACCGGAGATATTAGAGCCACAAAGTACCTCTCTTTATGGTCGAAAGTGGAGCATCGTCGGTTCCTACAATGGAGTCCTCTGTCTCTGGAACTCTACCACTCCTCAGCCCTGTCGCCAACTTGCTTTCCTAAACCCTTCCATTAAAAAGCTCAAGCTGCTCCCTTTATCCCCTGCATGTCTCCCCACATATCATCATCATCCATCTGTAACTGTTGAAGTCGAATTCGGGTTCGGTTACGATTCCTCCACTAATGATTTCAAAGTCGTCAGAATTCTTTATGAATCTCAGCATTGGAGATGGAAACAAGTTCATGTTTACTCTCTGAAGAATAATTTATGGACGACCCTTACCAATCTCGCCAATCCTCTACCTTCTTACCATTTATTGTACCCGAGAGCAGTTGTTAATGGAGCTTTTACTTGCCTTGCAAGCAAAGTCTCTCCTGGTTTTTTGATCCTGTCGTTTAATTTCGATAATGAGACTTTTGAAGAGAATAAATTGCCAGATTATTTCCATGGACTTACATCAAAACATTACGACATTGTTGGCATGATGGAAGTGAAGGGAAGACTATCATTGTTGTTTGAGTTCCCAAAATTAAGCCACTTTGCATATTTTGAAAAGATGGCTAAATTGGAGTTGTGGATGATGGTGCAGAAATCTGTTTGGGCAAAACACCTTGTTTTCCATTGGACACTTCATCCTATCCACCACTGGATAGTCATGAATGATCCAGAAATGTTACTGTTAACGCAGACCCATTTTCTTTCTAATTATAATGTTGAAACCCTAACAACCAGTGACTTTGGAGTTGTCGACTTTGCATACCCATTACATGTTGCTGCTGCTGCTGCTGCTCCCTACACACCGAGCTTGGCCTTACTCGGGGATCCAGGGGCCTCTGAATGGAATGAAGTATAAAATGTAAGTATATGTTTATCATGAACCTTTACAAGTCATGTTAAATTAATTTTGGTATCTCCAACAGTGATAAGCATATAGCTCTGAATGATTTGGGTACAAATTTAGCATATGCAGTCCATATTCAGCACTCAAGAAGGATTTGGGTTGAAATTTTGATCTTTTTTCATCTTTGGCTAAATTTGACTTTTAGGATTTCTGGCTGGGCCAAGTGCTTCTGTTATTTCATTTTCTGTTCTTTCAGCTATTTAGGTCAAATGAAAAAAAAGTCACAGTTATTTTTATTTTTACTGATATCCATCAGATTTGAAAGAGCTCAATATTTGGTATCAAAAAACATTGATTGGGGTTTGGGAGCTTTATTTTTCAATTCACCAAGAAGTAATTTTTGAGATACAGGCTTTGGAGCTTCTCATAAACGGCTTTCACATGGCACTTTTTTAATTTTTAATTAAAGATTTATCTAATTTATATTTTTAAAGATACATTAATTACATCTTTTTTTATCAATTTTTAATTAAAAAGTTATTTAATTTATGCCTTTAAATATGCATTAATTGACACCTTATCCCTTGGGTCAAGTGGTATCTAATCACTTTGAAGTGCATTCTCCCTCTTTTACGGGTTCAAACCTGTCCCATCACAACCTTGTTCAAAAAAAAAAAAATGCATTAACTGTATTTTTTTTATTAATTTAACTCGGACCCTGACGTGGGTTGTATAGAACAAACCCGACCCAGAAAAACAAACGCCCACCCAAACTGAGTCCAGTTGTCCATGTAATGCTGTAAATGAGCCATTTAACCGGGGTCTTCGTTTTTCCCATGGGTTTAGGGCCCAATATATTGAGGTAATGGTAATACCGTAACGAGTCGTCGAGCTGGCCTCTTTGTTTTCCCGAACATCCACTCAATTTTCGACATCGGCCCAGTGAGAGGACCGAGAAGAATGGAAATTTTGCGTTTACAAAATCAAAAATGTTATCATGGTTGTTTCATCGTTCTCCTTTTTTATCTACTCACTTTGTTTTTTTTTTTTATGTATTTACATGCTGAATGTAATAGTGAATAGAAAAATAATTCACACACCCTTCTACTCAATACATTTGTTAATACCTACTAATTCATTTATTAAATTCTATAGTTAAAAATTTTTTGTTTTAAGTTTAAATTTAAAAATAATAATTTCTTAATGAATATATTGTGAAATGTGTTGAATCAGAAAATATACCAATTATTATCTTAGTGAGTAAATTTATCACTTTCTTATGTAACTAATAGTGATTTATTCTTATTTAATAGTGATTAATACACTACTCTCTATTACAAATTATAATGGTGATTAATTAACATCCTATAATTTTATACATTTACATATTCCATTAACACTCACTTTCTCAAGCAATTATATAGTGATCATCAATACATTTTGTAACTGCGTATTTATAGTTAAAATGTGCTCGATCTAAAATTCTTATCTTCCAATGCTCAATGCTGAAAAACATTGATAGAAAATTAACTGTCTCCCAAACAATTATTTTCCAGCACATTAAAAAAAAAAAGCTAGAAAAAGTTATTCATATTTTATGGGGTTTGGGCTTTGGAAAATAATAGGTAACGAAAAACCCATATATATTTTATAGCACTAAGTATTGGAAAATTGATGATAGCTTATGGACATACTTATCATTTTCCAGCACTCAATGATAAAAAATAAT